GGTTAGAATTGAGTAAGGGGAAGGGAGTGGGGGAAAGAGAAGCTGATACCAAAGGCTCGAGTAGATGAGTAGAAAGAATTTTGGAAAGTATGATAGCAGCACATGTACAAATGCGCTCGATACAATGGATATGTGGATTGTTATTAGTTGCAAGAGTCCCGATAAAATGATTTATTTTAAAAAAGAAGAAGAATTTAGTAGCGGGGCTGAGAGTCGGGGAGAAAGACTGAGGGGACCCCCAAAGGGATCTAGGGGAGAAACTGCGACGGCCTTGGCGGGGGCCTGGGGGGCCAGTCTGAGAAACCTGCAGAGGTGATCTAGGTGGGGGTCTGGGAGGGCCAGGTAGGGAGTTTGCAGAAGCAGGGCAGGAGAATCACCGCCGGGGTCCCGGAGACCCCTCTGTTCCGAATCGAATCCTCAGACACCTGGGCCGGATAAAGCCCCGCCCCCCGGCAGGATGGGGGAGGCTAGGCAGCTCCCCAGACGCCCCCAGCCCGGCACTGGTGGGCGGGCTCCGCACTGCCAGGGGACTCCTTAGGGTGCTGGAGGCTCAAGTCCCGGCTTCCTGGGGAAGTCACGCCCTCGGCAGGGATGGGCCTCCCTGGGTGCCTCCCACCTACCCTCTCCCGCCCCGGTCCCACCGCACCCCACCCGTTCGTGGAGGCAGTCTAGGGCCTCGTCCCTTTCGGGATCCAAGAATTGCTAGGCGCCCCGACGGAAATCCTGCCTTTGACCACGTTTGCCTGGAGGGGCTGTCTCCAAGGCAACGCTCAGGCGGAGTAGCCGAGCCCGGCCCTTGGCAAGCGCTGGGCTACTGGCTGGTGCAGCCCTTTTGGTGCCCTTCCCGGCCCCAGGGCCCTCAGTCAGGAGCTGACTTCCCAACTGAGTGGGGGGCAGGGATTCTGCTGCTCAGTACCGGGGAGACCCGCCTCTTAGAAAGGCCGGGCAATGAACCGTGTGATTTTATGAAAGTTGTGGGCTTCTCTGGTCCTCCGTTTCCTCATTTGAAAACATTGGGACATGAACTGTGCCCTGTGCCCTACCCATCCCCCTCCCAGTCCAGTCGAGACGGGAGCCGGTCAGGTGCAGGTCGCAGCTTGTGGTGAGTTCAGGTTCCCACTCACTGGTCAGCGAACTATTCCTTTGCCTTCTCAAAAGCAGGGAGAGGAATCAGAACGCTTGGGTCCACCGACGGGGCCCCCAGGGGCCCGCACCTAGCTGATGTCCAGTAATACAGAAATGAACGTCTGTGTGCCTGTTGACGGCCCACCCTGGGAGGATGGCATTCCTCACTGTGGGGGTGGGTGGGCAGAGCAGGACTCTGTTCACATTTTACCGATTAGGAAATAGAGGCTTGAGGGACAAGGGCTGGCGGGACCTTCTGTAGGGACCCAGCCTGAGTCCAGGGCCTCTTGTCCCTGATATGATCAAGAAAGTAGCCAGTGCCCAGATCTGGGTCCCCATCTTTTACCTTCTAAGTCCCACTTGACCCTCTGGAGAGAGGTTGGGTGGGGGTGGGGTGGGGGTTAGGGTGTGAGTGGGGTGGGAGATAGAGGACTTTATGGCCCACTCTTTTTGTGCAGTGGGGTAAAGCTGCGAGTGAGAGTGTTTGGATGATTGCACACAGTAAACATGTGTGTGGCTGCTTGGACGGTCTGCCTGTCTGGTCCCCTGGGGCCTATTTTGCAAAGGAAGTGGCCAGATCTTGGAAGGCTGTGTGTGTGTGTGTGTGTGTGTGTGTGTGTGTGTGTGTGTGTTTGTAGGACAAAGTTTGGCAAGACAGATAGGCTGACCTATCACTCCCCACCCCTTGCAGCATGCATCTGGCTCCACCCACCCAGGTGGTGGAGTCAGACTGGACCCTGTCTGCCCAGGCACCGGGCATTCTGGGATTGAGGCCTCTAGAGAGGATGATGTTCAGGGAGAGGAATGGGGGCTCATTAAGCACACTGGGGTTCCATGAGAGGTCTGAGGGAGGGCACAGCAGGGAGGATATTCGATTGGGGTTGTCAGGTCTTGGTGAGGGGTGGGGTGGCTGTCAAGTCTTTGATTTGTTCTCCTCCCCAGTCCTCCCCTGCCTCCTGGCCAGTCCAGGGTCAAGGGGAGAAGTCGGAACTCTTGCAGCTGGTGGTTTTCTGGGCTGCCCCAAGCCAGTCCCAGTTCCCTTGTGTGAAATCCCCTCGGCCTGGGGCCATCTCCGCCCTCCCTACCTCACCCTGGGAACTTCTCTTTCCCTCTGCTGGTGCAGCCCTGCCCCTTGGCCTCCAGCTTCTAGCTGCCTTTCCCTCCAGGGAGAGGAGAGGGCTTGAACCGTTCATTGAGCACCTATTGTGTTTCGGAAGCTTTCCGAGAGGAAGCTTTCAGAGAAGCCACTGCAATGGATGCTGGATGCCATCCTGGGAGGTAGAGATTTGTATCATTGTGGAACCAACAAAGGGCCCTCACCTCAAGGTCTTCTGCTAGCTGGCAGGCTGGGGAGAATGCCAGTCCAAGCCTCTCTCCAGATCTCATTGATACACCAACATCCTGAGAGGGCGTTTGGAAGGATGAGTGAGAGGGAGATAAGGCATGTCAGAGTTATCTAGTGCTGCTATCACAGAAATCCCGCAAATGGGGGTTGTTTCATAAACAGAAATGTATTTTCTCTCCGCTTAGTAAGATGCCATTCAAGCAGTTCTGATTCATAGCCACCCTTGTCCCACCGCCTGCCCCACTCTGTCATCACAACTGTTCTGACGTTGGGGCCCACTGCTGCAGCCTCTGTCAGTCCGTCTTGCCGAGGGTCTTCATTTTTCCCATAGCTGTGCTTTCCCAGGCACGATGTCCTTCTCCAGAGACTGGTCTCTCCTGAGAACATGCCCAAAGTACTTGAGACGAAGTCTTGCCATCTTTGCCTCTAAGGAGCATTCTGACTGTACTTCTTCCACGATAGACCTGTTTGCTCTTTTGGCCGTCCGTGGTACTTTCCATATTCTTCTCCAGCACCACAATGCCAATGCATCAATTTGCCCTCATTCTTCTTAGTCAGTGTACAATTTTCACATGCCTGTGAGGCACTTGGAATCCCATGGCTTGGGTCAGCTGGACCGTAGTCCTCAAAGCCACATCCTTGCTTTTCAACATTTTTTTTCTATGCGGGGAGGCTAGACACCTGAACTCTCTTGCCAGCTTGAGCGGAGGCTCTCTGTTGGCTCTGAGGGAAGGGCTTCGTGTCTTCAGCTTCCATTCCTTGGTGATCTTCCTAGGGTGTGGCGTCTATCATTCCCCAACTCTGCTCTCTTCTCCGGTCTACTCTGCTCAATGTATATCTCAGAAGAAATGCATTTAAGACCTGCTCTGAGGGTGCTGCGGGAGAAGATGGGACTGCTAACAGCAAGGTTGGCACTTGAGACCCACCAGGCAGTGAAGCCCAGCAGGGAGAAGGATGGGGCCATCTGCTCCCTGAAAGACTGACAGTCTCAGAAGGCCTCGGCAGGGCTGCTGTGAGTCAGAAGCCACGTGAGGGCAGTGGTTTTGGTTTGATGGCCTGCTAGCGAGTCGATGCTGAATACTCCTTACAGTGAGGCTGGTGAGACTGTCTCAGCCACTTTAGACGTGCTATCAGGCGAGAACAGTCCCTGGAAAAGGACGAACAGTCCCTGGAAAAGGACGTCATGCTTGGCGAAGCAGAGGGCAGAGAAAAAGAGGAAGCCCTCTGCAAGAAGGACTGACACAGTGGCTCCAACAATGGGCTCCAGCATCAGAACAATTGTGAGGACGATGCAGGACAGGACGTTATTTTGTTCTGTTGTACACTGGCTCCTAAGCGTCCGAGCCTACTGGAGGGCACTTAACCACAACAATGACACTACTGCCACGTTAGCATAATAAAGAAAACCAATTCCCAAGTGGGATTCTCACCATAAGATACAGGCTGGGGACACACACACACACACACACACACACACACACTTCAGTTCATAACAAGGCACTTCTCAATTTCCTCTATCTTGTTTCTTTTGTATAAGGTGCCCTGGTAGAAGAATGAGTTACACTGTGGGCTGCTCACCACAAGGTAAACAGTTTGAAACTACCAGCTGCTCCATGGGAGAAAGATGGGGCTTTCTACTCCTGTAAAGACTTACAGTCTTGCAAACCCAGAGGCCTTACTACCCTGTCCTATAGTGTGGCTGTGAGTCAGAATAGACTTGATGATGGCAGAGAGTGTATCTTTTCAGACTAAAATCCTTTAAAGAGGAGCGATCTTGGTCTCTGCACGTATGCAATATGTTTTGAATTCAGCTCTGAGTGTATCATGACTAAGTAAATGAGTTAAAAAGCAGCAAACCTATCAAGGAATGAGGCAAAAAAAAGTGCAGATTATTAAAATAGCATCACTTAGGCACTATCAATTGTGATTTGCATATTCTCAAATAGAAAAGTATTGTTAAACGTAAACACTTCTAGATCTCGAAACACATGTATTCATGTTAAGATGGTTTGAGATCTACTTTTGATGATGCTTCTTGAGAATGTTAGCATCCATTTATATTATCATCTCTCCTTGTCCCCATATATAATAAAAAATAAAGTTATCATATATTAGTAATTAAAAGGGAAGGAAGGATGGGTGGGCCAGACTCCTATGTCCAGGAGTAGAAGTAGGCCCCACCCTTGGGTGGCCAGCTGCCATATGGCAGAGTTGGTGTGCTCCGTAGTCCAGGGGCTGGGTAGGAAGTGTGACATTCACCTGACA